ATCAAAAATGTTATCACTGGTAATATTTTTTAAATATTTTTATTCCATATCCGGTTTGTTAATGCTATCTTATCAATGGGTGTGAATGTCTGCAAGGATACTTTTAGATACAAAAATGAAATAAACACATATAATATTAGCCTGATATAATGATCCGTTACAAAAGGGAACAATTAAGGATTCAATGGAATTAAATAATCATGGAAGGAAAGGCGATGAAGTGATAGATCAGCGACCCGTCAGGAAGGTCCTTGGCGCAGGGTCTGGGAAAGGCGTTCCTACAGAGGGGCAGGGGAGCCCGCCGCCCACACGTCCTCTGAAATCAAAAGATAACTTTTCATATGCAGAAGATGAATGAATTAAAAATCTGTTGAATTATCTGAGTTTTTATTGTTCATGATATGAGTGTGGATTAAATGTAATATATATATATATAATATATATATATATTATATATATATATATATATATATATATATATATATATATATATATATAATATATATATATATATATATATATACGGAAAAGCTGTGTGCAAAGCTCACCTGGGTATCCATAGCTGGCGTTGGCATCGTATGAGGCCAGAGTCTGTTGCATCATGGATATGTTGCATCCTCTCATAGCCATCTCCATCTTTAAGTTCTTAATCTCTTCTTCTGTTTTCTTAAGACCAAGTCTCATCTGCATTTCCTCCCTCTCATCCTTATCTCTCTTCTTTTTCTGCTTTATCGCCAGCTGCCTGCGCTTCTCCAGTGCGGGGTCGTCTTGTTTCGGCCAGTCGTACATCTTGACTTTGCGTTGTCTGCCGCCGCCCGAGACGGACAGGGCGGCGAGGGGGAGAGGCCGCCCCCGACCGCCGCCCCTTCCAAGTAGTCGTCTGCGCCAAAAGCAAGCGCCTCCGAACCCCGGAACAGACTCGCCTCAGCACCGTCCGCCTGTCCGTACGGATACGAATGGTCGTCATACGAGGCCGAATGGAGGCCCTGTACGCTCTCCGTCGTGCCATGAGGCCACATCTGAGGCTCGCCCAGAGACCCGTTATAGCCGCCCTCCACGTAATACGGACCACAGTTACCAACAGAATACCCGTCCTGGCCAAAGCCACTGTAGTAGCCTCCTTCGTAAGCTGGCTCCATGCTTGAGAAACGCCACAGGCCAGATACCACTTCTTTCGGCTGCTGTCCAATCGACCTGTGGAGCAAGTCACAGGAGAAAGCCCCTTTTAACGCACGGGGACGATAGCTTCTAGGAAGCTCCAACACGACGTTTGGTTTCCTCGACGCCGCCCCATCGCGTCAACAGTAAGCCCTTGGGAACCACCGGCCTCGACAACAACGTTCCTTATCCTGCCCAGCAGTCATCCACCTGCCGCCGGGCCTTACGCTTCCCTCGTGTGTCCTAAGCAGTGTGGTTGTGTGTACGTTTACTATCTTTCCTGTGCATTTGTATGAATGCGTTTATGTCCATGTATATCTATGTAACGTTCAGGACCAAATATAAAATTTTATAAACAAACCCTTTATTGATTTTGTATGAACGTAATATAAAAAGTAAGTAAAAAAGGCACAAGACAAAGATAAATTTTTCGCATTTATCAAGGTTATCCCGCTCCCATGTCTATTGGCAACCTTTTTCCCTTGTATATTGTGTATCTTCGAGGAGCATACACACACAAAAATGCGCACACACACATGCAGGCATGTACACACACATATATATGTATGTATACATATACCTATATATATATATATATATATATATATATATATATATATATATATATTATATATAGATATAGATTTGTCTATATTTGTGTTTATATATACTTATATATATATATATATATATATATATATATATATATATATATATGTGTGTGTGTGTGTGTGTGTGTGTGGTGTGTGTGTGTGTGTGTGTACGCATATGTACTTATATATATATATATTTATACATAAATACATATTTATATATAATATATATATATATATATATATATATATACATATGTATGTGTATATATATGTATGTGTATGTATATATTTACATACATATATACCCACATACATATATGTATGTGTATACATAGATGCATATATCGTAGATATTCATATTTCTATCTATTCATCAATGGATCAGTATGTGTCATTTCATTGCAATACTTTGTTTATATAATATATATATATATATAGTATATATATAGTATACTATACAACTACACCACACACACATAATTAATAATATATTAATATATAATATAATATTATAATATAGTAATGTGGTATGTGTATAAAATTGATGTATTATATATATTAATGATTTGTACTTATAGTTACACACACACTTACTCTCTTCTGATAGATGTGAGTAGTGGTTTATACATCTTACTCATATCTCTACCCACTCTCATCAATCCCTCTACACTCTACCTATCTATACTCTCTCTCACTCTCTTCACTTACTCTAGTCTCTCTACTATAGGTCTCTCTCGTCATCTCTC